GTGTTAGCCAGGATGGTCTTGATCTCCTGACCTCGTGATCCGCCCGTCTCGGCCTCCCAAAGTGCTGGGATTACAGACTTGAGCCACCGCGCCCGGCCTAAGATTTTCTTTGTTGGGAGATTTTAAATTTCCGATTCAATCTTTTCACTTATCATAAGTCTGTGCAGATTTTCTGTTTCTTTTCTAGTCGGTTTTGGTAGTTTGTGTATCTCCAGGTAGGAATTTTTTCATTTCCTCTGGGTTACCTGATTTGTTGTTGTACAATTGCTCACAGTATTCCTTTATAGTCATTTTTATTTCTGTAAGGTCAGTAGTAATGTCCCCACTTACATGGTCAATTTTGTTGATCTCTCAAAGAACCAACTTTTGGTTTCATTGATTTCCTCTATTGTTTTTCTACCCTCTAGTTTGTCTTCCTCCATTCTACTCTTTATTCCTTTCTTCCTTTTTTTTTTTTTTTTGAGATGGAGTTTTGCTCTTATCGCCCAGGGTAGAGTGCAGTGGTGCCATCTCGGCTCACTGCAGCCTCCACCTCCTGGGTTCAAGCCATTCTCCTGCCTCGGCCTCCCTAGAACCTGGGATTATAGGCATGTGCCACCACACCCAGCTAATTTATATATTTTTAGTAGAGACAGAGTTTTGCCATGTTGGCCAGGCTGATCTCGAACTCTTGACCTCAGGTGATCTGCCTGCCTCAGCCTCCTAAAGTGCTGGGATTACAGGCGTTAGCCACCACACCCGGACTATTCCCTTCTTTCTGCTAGCTTTGTATTTAGTTTCTTCTTTTTCTGGTTCCTTAAAATGTAAAGTTACTGATTTGAGATTTTCCTTCTTTATTAATGTGGGCATTCATAGCTCATATTTCCTCCTGAGAACTGCTTTTGCTGCAACTCATAAGTTTTTATCCTTTGTGTTTTCATTTTCATTCATCTCAAAGTATTTTCTAAGTTTCCCTGTGATTTCTTATTTGGCCTATTGGTCATTCAAAAGTGTGTTGCTTAATTTCTATATATTTGTGAATTTTTCCTTGTTCATTCTGTTATTGACTTATAGTTTCATTCCCTTGTGATCAGTGAAGATGTTTTGTGTGATTTCAGCCTTGTCTAATTCTCTGCAACTTATTTTGTGACTTGACATATTGTCTATCCTGGAGAATGTTCTGCTTACACTTTGGAAGACTATATTCTACTATTGTTTGGGTGGCCTATTCTGTCTGTTAGGAATGATTGATTTATGGAGTTGTTCTAGAGCTCTATTATTATTGATCTTCTCTCTGCTTGTTTTATCTATTTATTATTATTATTATTATTATTTGAGATGGAGTCTCATTCTGTTGCCCAGGCTGGAGTGCAGTGGCTTGATCTCGGCTCACTGCAACCTTGGCCTCGCAGGCTCAAGCGATTGTCCTGCCTCAGCCTCCTAAGTAGCTGGGATTACAGGCACCTGCCACTATGCCCAGCTAATTTTTTGTATTTTTAGTAGAGACAGGGTTTCACCATCTTGGGCAGGCTGGTCTCAAACTCCTGTCCTTGTGATTTGCCTGCCTCGCCCTGGGAAGGCCAGTGTGAGGGGATTGCAGGTGTGAGCCACTGCGCCCGGCTGTTTTATTAATTATTAATAGCGAGCTATTAACATCTCCAACTATTATTGTAGAACTGTCTATTTCTCCTGCCAATTCTATCAATTTTGCTTTATATGTTTTGGAGATCTGTTGTTAGGTATGAAGATGCTTATGATTGGTGTATTTTCTTGATGATTTAATTGTTTTATCAATATGTAATGTTGTTCTTGGACTCTTATAACAAGTTTGTATTAAACTCTATTTTGTCTGGCATAGTATAGCAACCTCAGCTCTCTTTTGGTTACTATTTTTATGGAACTTTTTCCCAACCTTTCACTTTCAGCCTGTGTGTTTCACTGGATCTAAAGTGCATCTCTTATAAGGAGCACCGATCTGGATCCAGTGATTTTTTTAAAAGCCGTTATATCAGTTTCTGCTTTTAATTGGAGCATTCAAGTCCTTTACATTAAAAGTAATTAATTACTGATCTGCAAAGAATTATTTCTGCCATTTTGTTATTTGGTTTTTAGATCTCATCATATCTTTTTTCTATACCTATGTTTTATGTTTCTTTTGTTTCTTATCTCCTCGTTTTTGTTTAACCGACTGTTTAGAGTACCATATTGATTCCCTTCTCATTTCCTTCTCTGTGTTTATTTTGCTTTGTTATTGGTTGCTCTAGGGATTACAATTAACATCTAAACCTTATAACAACCTACTTTGAATTTATACCAACTTAGCTTCAATAGTATTCACAAAATCTCCGTTCCTATACGGCTCCGTTCTTCCACTTTGTGTTGTTATTGTCACAATTTACATCTTTATTCATTGTGTAACCTTGAACCTATATTTATAATTATTGTTTTATGTATTTGTCTTTTAAATTATGTAAGAAAAAGAGGAGTTACACACCAAAACTACAATAATACTAACTTTTGTATTTGCCTGTGTAGTTATCTTAACCAGGGCTCTTTATTTGTTTGTCCGACTTTGAGTTACTTTCTAGTGTTCTTTCATTTTACCTGGAAGGATTCCTTCATCCACTTCTTGTAGGATAGGTCGACTAATGACAAATCTTCTCAGCTTTTGGTTATCTGAGAATGTCTTAATTTCTTCTTCATTTTTTTCCTGATATAAAATTCTTGGTTGACTGTTTCTGTTCATCTTGCTGAGGATCCCTTGTGCTTGATGAATCACTTCTCTCTTCCTGTTCATAAGATTCTCCCTTTATCTTTTGTTAGTTTTATTATAACGTGTCTCGGTGTAAATCTCTTTGTGTTTAACCTATGTGGAATTTGCTCAGCTTCTTGAATCTGTGGGTTCACGTCTTTCATCAAATATGGCAAGTTTTGACCTGGATCCCACAGCTGTAGTGTGTTAATCATAAACGTTCTCATCTACTGTAGCCCTTCTTCCTACTGTACTTTACTGAGAAATCTCTCTGCTGACTCAGGCAGGGGCTATCATCTCCATTCTACAGATAGAGAAACCAAGTTTCAGGAGCCCTGCAACAGCCTGGCCCACCCACTGGGTTATTCTGTGATGTTGTTGATTGCTGTTGATGCACTGGGTGCTGGGGAGTCAAGAGCAATGCTGGGTACTGTGGGTGTGTCAGAGATCCCCCACCACCACTATAATACATGCCCTTTCTCCTCTCCCTGCTCCAGATGGCAGAGGAGAGGTGAAGGGTGCTGCCTTTCTCTGTCCTATCTCCAGGACCTCTGCCACCTCCTTACAACCTCCGGGAAGTGCAGGTCACCATCTTAAACAACACCAGGTGTAATTACCTGTTTGAACAGCCCTCTAGCCGTAGGATGATCCAGGATTCCATGTTTTGTGCTGGTGCTGAGGATGGCAGTGTAGACACCTGCAAAGTGAGTGCTGCTACCCCTCCAGGGAATCCCACCCTCTCCAGCTCCAAACCTGAGAGCAACTACCATTTCCTCCCCAACCACTCCCAACCCATTGCTTGGATTTCTTATGAGAAAACCAATGCAGTCTTAGTTTTTGAGCCTACAAAATGTGCTTCTCATTTTTCATAAATTCTGCCTGCATTGATTAACCCACCAACCCCTGGAGGCTGTTGCCCCACTTTGAAAGTGTAGAAACTGCGACTTGATTGATTATATGGGAAGGAGTAAGGTTTGCATTCAGTCTGCCTAGCCCCACAGCCCCTCCTGCTCTCATGGCCTGTCTGCTACCCCACCCACTCTGCCCCAGGCTGGGCTCACCCATGCTGCTCCCCAGGGTGACTCAGGTGGACCCTTGGTCTGTGACAAGGATGGACTGTGGTATCAGGTTGGAATCGTGAGCTGGGGAATAGACTGCGGTCAACCCAATCGGCCTGGTGTCTACACCAACATCAGTGTGTACTTCCACTGGATCCGGAGGGTGATGTCCCACAGTACACCCAGGCCAAACCCCTCCCAGCTGTTGCTGCTCCTTGCTCTGCTATGGGCTCCCTGACTCCTGCAGCCATTCTGAGTACACCAGAAACTGTAAGGCTGCAGTGGGGACCATAGGATTGGCTCACCTCCCCTGGGCAGTGGGCACTTCAGAGACGGGGTTGGGACTGCCTGCTGGATCAGATTCCAGCCCCTTTTGTCCCATTTGCTAATAAATATGTGTGCATGTTCAAGCTGATGCCTTGCAGAGCTTTCTGTGGACCTAAGGGGCTTCATGGACAACTCCCTCCTCTTCACTCATGTCCAGTCCAGGCCAAGACCCCACCTGAACTCCTAAATTGTTATCCAGGTTTTTGTTGCAAACAGCAGGACCCTCTGGTTATTTCAATCGGGAAGATAATTGATGGAAGAACAGTAGTACTTCAGTGTGTCAAAGGGGTGGGAAGACATGGATTGGGGTACCATGGAGGAAATGCTCTCAGTGCTCCCATCCCAGGGTTCCCAATCACACAAATGCCAGATGTTCCTAATCTTATTTTGGTCACTCCAATAGTTGACGTAAAACCAGGACATGGGTGCAGGTAGTTTATCTGGAAGGTGATCCCAGGAAGCAAAGACGAGAAAGTGGAGAAACCAAGGCAGGAAAGGCACAAATGCCAATAAATTTGCTCAAACTGGGAGAAATTGAGCCACAATTCTGTGGGGGCTTCAGCATTGGCCCACTGAGGACAAGGACACCAGGGGTGAGTGTTTCTCTCTTGCCCCCTGACCCCACATGTTGAGGGAGGTCCTGGGGGCATAGTATGATGCCCCAGAGCTGTAGCAGCCCCTAGGTGAGGCTGTGGGCACCCAGGCAGCTGCTGTAGCAGCACCATAAGGTGGCTGACATGGGGAAGGGGGGTATGTCTTCCCCCTGCCTTGAGGTTCCTGACCCCAGCATCAGCTTGGCCAAGGAACCAATCCAACAAGGTAGATGCTGCAGGCTCCCTGAACTGGGAAAGCAATCTGCATTTTGCCAAGATCCAAAAATGCTGTGAGCACAAGAAGGTGCGAGAAGCTCTGGCCTAGACAGCCCCTGATCTCATCCTCACCCCACAGCCTCTGCGCCTTTGAAAATGCATCCACTTGAAGCAAACTCTCCCTGCTCACTGTTAGCCTCGGGAGGAAGGCCGTAGAGGGGCCCTGGTTCCTCAAACCATGGAGGGTAGGCAGTCACACGTGGTCCCTGCCTACAACATCCTTCCACCCTTCAGGACCACATCACTCACCAGTGGGTGGCTGACCTATTAGCAAGTGGAATTGCCAGTCCTGCCAAATTGTAGAGGGAGTGTCATGATCCAGTGGACGTGCTATCCCCCATCCCATGCATGTGTTGGGGTCAGGGGAGGATCTTCCTGCCGAGGAGACCTGGCCTGTCCACATAGAAGAAGATCGAGACTGGAAAAGGGTGGGCAGATTCCAAGATAGGACTGGAGTGGATATAGCTGGTTCTGAGGGACAGGAAGTGAGTCCAGCGACGCCCTTTCTAAGTTTGAGGGTGTTCTGCAGGTGAGCAGGTCCATGCAAACCTATCCTCAAAGGCCAAGGGAGCCAACAGGCCAAACAAAGAGGCTGAGAAATCCAGTGTCTAAGAAACAAACATTTAATAAGACATTACAAACTGAAGTGATGTCTTGGTTGTCCATGAGATGGTGGATCTCCACACCTGCCCTGCAGAAAGTATTCTTTGTATCACAAGATTTTTTTTTTTTTTTGGTAAAGCAAGTGCAATTGGTTATGCCTCAGACATTCTAGCAAAATCTTGACCACAGGGGAGGTGAGAGAGGCATCCTTCTGAGGAGTTATCTGTGTGACAGGGACCACTTGGTATGCCTGAGCGAAACATGGTCATCATGGGGTTTTCACTTCAAGACGGCGTCACTCTTGCCATACAAAAGGCTGTTTTCCTATAGGTCTGGGGACATTCCAGTAAAGTTGAACAAGTGAAGTAGAGATGGACTTTTTTTTTTTGAGACAGAGTCTCGCACTGTTGCCTGGGCTGGAGTGCAATGGCGCCATCTTGGCTCACTGCAACCTCCACCTCCCGGTTCACGTGATTCTCCTGCCTCAGCCTCCCAAGTAGCTGGGATTACAGGTGCACACAACCACACCCAGCTAATTTTTTTGTATCTTTTTTTTTTAGTAGAGACAGGGTTTCCCTATGTTGGCCAGACTGGTCTGGAACTGCTGACCTCGTGATCCTCTCACCTTGGCCTCCCAAAGTGCTGGGATTACAGGTGTGAGCCACTGTGCCTGGCCTAGAGATGGAGTTTGGCCAGAGGGAATGACTTCAGAGATAAAAGGCGATGTCCACATCCCAGAGTGGCCCATTGTGGGTGACAGCAGGGCCCCAGGGTTCCATTGCCATATGCTGGCGAGGCAAGAGGAAAGGTAGAGACTGAGAGTGGAAGTGGGATTGGAGGAGCCAACTGGAAGGAGAGTCAGCTGGAGCACCTTGGGGTGGGGTGGCTGCCTGTGAAAGAAATAGAGGTCTGGGGGAATGTGGGGAATGGGCAGGCATGTTTGGACTTTGGGTAGGAAATCCACATGGGTTGGGGGACAGTCAGAGTCCAGAGGACTCAGAGCTCTTGCTACCATGGCCAAGCCCTGTTGGGATGCTGGCATCTGCCCTGCCCAGAACCGCACTCCCCACAGGCCATGGGAGACAGAGGCTACACCTCCAGGCATCAAATGAATAGACACCAAGGGTGATGGGCAGGGAGGGATCTGGAGAATTCGGGGGTGTCTTAGTGAATTCTTACATTGCTTTAAAGGAATACCTGAGGCTGGGTAATTTATACAGAAAAGGGGCTTATTTGGCTCATGGTTTGATTCTCCTGCCTCAGCCTCCGCAGTGACTGGGATTACAGGCATGTACCACCATGCCTGGATAATTTTTTGTATTTAGTAGAGACGGGGTTTCACCACGTTGATCAGGCTGGTCTTGAACTCCCGACCTCAGGTGATCCACCCCCCCTTGGCCTCCCAAAGTACAGCTGTGAGCCACTGTACCTAGCCTTACTTAGTTTTCTTAAGATCATTATTTTGAATTTATTTCTGACAGTTCACTGATTTCCTTTTCCATTAGGGTCTGTTACTAGACAGTTATGTTCCTTTGGTGCCAAATTTTCTTGCTGCTTCATGTTTCCTGTATCCTTGCACTGATGTCTGTACATCTGGTGGAACAATTGCCTCTTTCAGAGTTTCTAGAGTGGCTTTCGTAGAGATAGACTTTTACCTGCAGTTGGGTCATAGTGTGCTGGTTGGAAATGGTGTGGCGACCGTGTTTCCAGATAGGTGCAGTGATATGGTCTCCGTGCAGCTCTTCAGCTGTGTTGAGCATCAGCAATAACTGTGGGTGCCTCGAGGCCCAGGCTGTAGAGATTTGTGGCAGTGGTTGTTAATGTCCTTGATGTCAAGGGCTTTTGGGATCCTCCTATTCTTATTTTCCCCACAATGGGGATATGCAGCCAAAGGGCACCTTTTGGTGTCAAGTTTGATATGGCCTACAAGAAGATGCAGTGGCACTGGCTTTCATTTGCAGGTGCTTGGAGTAGCTGTGGAGCTGGGCTCCTAGGCTCAGGGCTTGGCGTACAAATTGAGGCAAGGCCTGGGTCATTGGGTGCAGGTTTACTCTCTGTGGCAGGGTTGAATGTGCGTTGCCCACAGAGCCAGGATCTGTACCTCTGATGCACTCCCTAGCAGGTCATGCCCAGGGGGCTGGGTTGTAGCTGTGATTCTACCCTGTGGGACAGGGCAGAGCAGTGGCCCAACTCTGGGGAAGATGTGGTGTTCTCAGGTTTAAACCTGGGGATCAGAGTATGGCTGCCACTCCGGGACCTGAGCCAGTAGGACTCAGCGTAACTCAGGGTTCAGGGGCTCAGCATAACTCAGGGTTCAGGGGCTCAACATAACTCAGGGTTCAGGGGCTCAGCATAACTCAGGGTTTAGGGGCTCAGCGCTACTCAGGGTTCAGGGGCTGAAGCTCCATGCAGTAGCAACTCTAAGCCCTGAGATGGTGGGGCTTGGCAGTATCCCAGACTTCATGAGGCCAGATACAGTGGCAGAATGGCAGAGCACAGCTGTCATTTCGGCCCTGTTGGGGAGGGAGGTGGCAGGAAACAGCACATCGCAGGGGAAGGCAGGGAGCAGCCCAGGGAGACTCCACTTTCCAGGGAGAGGGCTATCTCCGCAGCTCCATCTCTAGGAGGCTAATCTGGCTCCGGGGAGGCAAGGTGCTGGAGCTGGCCCATAGGGCGGTGTCTCAGCTCAGCCACTGCTCTGTTCCCCTGGGATGCGAGCTACTACATCAGGTCAGCCCCGGGATTCACAGCTGCTCAGCTCAGCCAGGGCAATGATCTCCTGGGGGAAGTGGACTACTTTAGCTTAGGCCTGGGGAATGTGACTATTCTGGGTAGCCCCAGCACCGTTTCCTGGAATGCAGCACGCTTCTCCAACTTCTGCTCTGAGCAGCCAAGGTGCTGTTTTCCTGGGAGGCAGGTTGTGGCTTCAGCTCTGGCCTGAGTGGAGAAGGGGGAAGGTTAGGTGGAGCACCTCTACCTCTGCTTGGCCCCAGGAGCAAGGGTGTGACCGCTGCTCACGGCTCAGTTGAGGGGTATGAAGCCACCAGGCTGAGGTGGTTCAGTGGTGGCTTAGTCTCAGGGATGAAGGGCAACGGTGGCTACTCAATCCCAGGGCAAGATATGCTCTGGCCGTAGTTCCAGTTCAACAATGGCGCAGTGCGGTAGCCACATGACCACAGGAAATGGGCTCACTGTGGACTCCTCTGCAGGGAGCTCAGCTGTGTGGCCTCAGGCAGCCCCCTTGCCTGGGCTTAGTGCCTGTGAAGACAGGGGACGCCAGTGATAAGGGCTGTAGGTGTCCAAGGTGCTGGTGGGGCTCCTGGGATCTCCTTGCTGACCTCCTTGCCTCATTCCCGGCTGATCCTGGTTGGGGATTGGGGTGCAGGCCCAGTGTTTCCTTCTGTTCTTCATGCGGCCATCCTGAGTTTCTCTGCTCTCCAGGTTTCTGTTACTCCTCTAAAGCACTCTGGTGCTCTTCCTCAGTTATTTTCATTAAAAGTTAATTGTTGGCCGGGCGCGGTGGCTCACGCCTATAATCCCAACACTTTGGGAGGCCGAGGCAGGCAGATCACGAGGTCAAGAGATCGAGATCATCCTGGCCAACCTGGTGAAGCCCCATCTCTACTAAAAAAATACAAAAAGAAAATTAGCCGGGTGCGGTGGTGGGCGCCTGTAGTCCCAGCTACACGGGAGGCTGAGGCAGGAGAATGGCGTGAACTCGGGAGACAGAGCTTGCAGTGAGTGGAGATTACGCCACTGCACCCCAGCCTGGGTGACAGAGTGAGACTCCGTCTCAAAAAAAAAAGAAAAAAAGAAAAAAAATTAGCCGGGCATGTTATGTTGGCAGGCGCCTGTAATCCCAGATACTTTGGAGGGTGAGGCAGGAGAATCGCTTGAACCCGGCAGGCGGAGGTTGCAGTGGGCTGAGATCACGCCATTCCACTCCAGCCTGGGCAAAAAGAGCGAAACTCTGTCTCAAAAAAAAAAAAGAAAAACGAAAGTTAATTGTTTATTCATTGTTCTGGCTGTCTTAGTGAGGGGGAGGAGGACAAGAGAACTAGGGGGGCCGCGCGGGTGGCCCGCACCTATAATTCCAACACTTTGGGAGACCAGGGCAGGAGGATCACTGGAGGCCAGGAGTTCGAGACCAGCCTGGACAACATTTTGCTCTACAAAAAATTTAAAATAAAAATGGGCCGGGCACGGTGGCTCATGCCTGTAATCACAGCACTTCGGGAGGCCGAGGTGGGAAGATCATGAGGTCAGGAGTTTGAGACCAGCCTGGCCAACATAGTGAAACCCCGTCTCTACTAAAAATACAAAAATTAGCTGGGCATGGTGGCGCATGCCTATAATCCCAGCTACTTGGGAGGCTGAGGCAGGAGAATCACTTGAACC